ATATATATATATATATATTTTATATATATGAGCAATATACCACGAGTAGACATGAAATATGGCTGTATATCGGCACGGCTGTGGTTCGGCCATAGGTAATCATATCTGTGCTGATATACAGCCTTATCGCACGGCTACGAGTGTGATATTGTGTTTATACAACAGTTTGACGGCACGAGTGTGTAAATACATAAGAAACAACAACGGAGTGTCTTTAAAAACCCTCTTTTGTGCAGAACTACTTCCTTCCGCCACAGATTCAAATCTCAGTTTGCCAGTTTAACTGCTGAGCTCAAGATCCGTTACTAATTCCAGAATGTCACTTTAGAACTTTAGTAACGAAGAAACGTTGAGTTGCTTCATTGAAAGTTTATTGTATTACTGTATTAAAGCTCACTGTATGATGAGAGAGATGGACTGAGAGTGAGATTACCTGCATCTGATACAGCATTCATTCTTCAGATCAATCTCATATAAAACATGAGTTTGAATCTCCGCTAAGGAAAGCCATATCTTTGTCATACTATCCTGATTTCTGATGACAAGCTGTTGTTGAAAGTAAAAAGAACTTCCTTGTTTACAACAGCGTTTCAGTCTCTTTCAACATAAAAGTCTTTACTGCGGGACTCACCATCACCATCACGAACACAAAACACTATATACTACTATTTATATAAAATGTTATTTGTTGAATAATAATATTTAATAAACAACAACAACAGCCATCATAAAAGTTGCTAAGGCAATTCAGTCAAAAGTACAAAGGCAGCGCTCTGAAATACAGCATTAAAGTCATATAAAATATAACGTGATGAGATTTTGCCCTCAGCCAAAACTATTTGCTCTGGAACAAATAATAGATTATTGAGACCAAAGACTGCCCGTTAGAATTACCCAAAACAAATTATATCTCATGTTTAACCACTATAGAGGCATCAGAACCAGCGGTGATTTCCAGAAGATCTGGCCGCGGTGAGGCGCTCTCTCGGCGGGTTCATGAGCGCAGAAAGGCCGCTGACGGCCTGGAGCTCGCATCTCCCAAAACATCGAAGCTAATGTTCAAATAGACTTTATCTTAATTAACAAACCGCATATTTGAAGTCTAAACAAGTACATTCTCGCCTAAAAAATTCTTAAAACTACATTCCGTGACACAAAAACAGTGTTCTTTTTAAATTATAGTGGATTTGGGCCTCCACCATGACACTCGCTGTGAGAAATACGGCAAGCGGTGTGATACAAACGGTGAAACTGACCCTTCTCCAACGGTTGGGGGAGTTTTGGGGCACGTTCAAGCTCAAACCGGCGCGTAACGTTTAGCTACGGTTTCCGGTTTGAACGACATGTTTCCTGGAAACGGTGTGCAACGTGGTTTGAGATGTGTTTTCTCTTGTTTGGTGGGTGTGTCACACATGTCAGCCCAATCAGCAGCAACATGTACATAAACCACGCGGTATTAAAGAGACAGCTCACACAATGTAATTAACATCAAAATAAATTCACAAGAGCAAGTATATTGTTTGCACATGTTTATTTACATTAAAGGCAAAATAACTTAAATAATAAGAGCACAAGTATGTCTAGTAAGTATGTCCAAATATCATTTAGTAATTGCAATGTCTTCTGGTCCATATCCTTTCCTTAGGAAGGTGTGCTAGACA